TAAACCTTGTGCACGTGTGAACACGTGTTATTTGGACCTTTTTCTCCTAGTGTCAAGATGTCACTAAACCCTTTATTCGTTTGGATTGGAACCTGGGATCTTTCACTGCTGCCTTTTCCTCGCTTGGCTTGCCGATGGGATTTGAGCCGCCCGGCAGCGCTCTGGGCAAACACTGTAGATCTGAACAAACACACGTGCTTGGGGCCACTGACCGCCATCGCCAGTTTAATGGGAAGGATTTTGATTTGTCATGCGAAAGATGTAATAACAGCAATGACTAACACGGAGTAAGCCCTTCCATCTATTCCCTCAGCTCCTCACATCGCTGCATTTCCTTGTATTAGTGTGTTCGAATCCAGTCTCCACAAATCCTCGAAGCGCATCGTCTTATTAGACAACGGATAGGCTCCAGCGCCCCCTTTCAAATGTTTTTAACTGCTCATGCTCTTTGTAGGCCATGTTAGTAACCTCCCTTGCTACGCCAAATCTGGACTCCAACTCCATCGCTTTCAGCGATTGGCCCCGTTGGCTTTCAGTATGTCGGATCGAAAAATTTCGATCAAAATTTATGACTTAGACGTTTTCCGCCGTTCGCACGAAGTGGGGGGTGCAAAGGGTTCAAAAATAGAGGTAGTGTTATCAATGGAATATCCAGTTTGAGGCCTGCGATGTTAGCACATTATCAATGGCGGCAGTGCGGCCCTGCTTGCGTGATTGCCATCAATCCATGATCGCATAATCTATTCAACGTGCCTGACGATCTGGTGCAATACTCGATCTGGCGATCCCATTAGCTTGTATTTTTGAGACTTGTTATCCATCCTGAGGATATGATGATTTGGGAAATCCGCTGCTCAGCAGAGGATCTCTAATAGAGATCTTTATGGATGATACATGTACAGTATTAATGTACCTGAGACTGTGTTCTCGAGGCGTTCAGCCTCCGTTGGTGTTTTTGTGGTTGCAGAGAATTGAGGAGCAAAATCAAGTGATAGCCATGCAGCACGAGCAAATAGAGTCAGCATTAAACGCTCGAGGGCGGGATGATCGCCAGACAGATGGAATCAATAGAGTAGCTCCTGAGACTCGTTCAAGGCACCGGGGATGGGTTTTGAAAATGATGCGTGCAAAGGACAGTACTCGATGAGAAAGTGTGGAAGTCAGTGTTCGAATGATTGGCTGGTGTTTTAGAGGAAAAATCTGCAGCCAACATGGATTATTCAAGCTGTGTTGAAATTCTGCATCCCATCTAGAACCGCAAAAGCTAGTTGGCCAATATAACTTCATGCATATTTCCTCGTCCTGGCGTCCAATGTGCTACATACAGCTAATACTAAGCAAGCTAAATAATACAAGGGAAGTATGAAGGATGAATTTAATTGTACAACAACTTGCAGACCACGCATAACTCTCTAAAACAAACAAAAATGCAGTGTCCGTGGACTATATATTTATTGACGTTTGTGGATACAAAAAAATCTTTCAAAAGCAACTGCACGAACAGCGTTTGGCAGCACTTCCTCTGAATTTTGTTGGAAAATTACCCAAATACGTGGATTTATGCAGTGTGATGCAATATTATGTGCGTACGTACTGATAATTGCATTTTCAGGATGGAAGGGGGGGCTTTTATTGAAGGGTTGCAATGCGGAAATGAAAATACCGCCATTTTTCTGGACAACACAGCGTCCATGTGAGCGTTTGGTTGTGTGCAAACCCACCATGGAGTCATGATGTTACGGATATGACAATAGGTACTGCTCAACGTGGCATTCCTTCTCCCCTTCCTCGCTCTCTGTTTCTCGCACCTTAACTTAAAGATGCTAGACAAATGGCAAAAGAAGGGGAGGGTGGGTTACTTGTAATTTGCAACAAATCGGAACTACATTTTCAAAATGCCGGCCAGCGGCAGTCAAAATCTGCTGCATGAGTGCGGAGGAGAAGCGAGGAGAGATATCCAATGTCTGACTGTTCAACCTGCTATTGGCATTATCCAAGACCCTCACGTGCTTCCTCCCTAGTGATTGCAACGTGGTGTGCCTGCCCCTTACCCACGTGAAATATGTCCAAAAACCACAAGTAAAAGTTTTGTCCTGCTCCGGCGCTAACGCAGGGGCAGCGGCAATTGAATGATTCTGAACTAAAACGTATATTCTGTGACCATTCTAGAAACTATCGGATGTGCTTGACATTCTTAGGTCGTCTCATGCCTTCAATTGTTTCCATTGCGAATGGATGCTGATGGACAAGTGTAGCAAGTGTGGGGTGCGGCAGTGTGCCTGTCACCACTTATCAACTGCAGCGGCTGTGTTTCGTCATTTGTCGAAAATTCTATCCAAGGGAACCGCTGATGCCCTGACACGGTAGAGTATAAGGTTGCGATCGCAATGGGGGGTGCAATTGCTGTTGCCATGCCACCTGGCGTAGCTGGGAGGGGACGATACCCCTCCCACACCAATAATGGCTACCAGCACGGGGTAAAATGCGACATCTTCGCCACTGGGTCATACCTTATAAGCTGGCAACCCCACTTGGGATGCGCCGGAAATGAATTTTTTAGAGTCTGACTCAGCGTTCTTGTGTAAGAATCGGTCCCTATGAGGTGGGGGTTACGTGGGTGGCGGGGATCTCCGAGTCAGGTGCTGTGGGTATGCGTCCCCGGTGTGTGTCGGTGGCTGCACTCGATGGCCGCCGACGGGAGGGGCGCGGCTATCGGTGACGCGGCTGCGAGGCGATCGCACAAAAGACGCAGTTGTACAGCCGCCCCATCACATGCGGCAACACGGCTTGATCCCGTTTAATGAATGTTGCATCTGATGTGCACGATTTTCATTATTTTTGTTTGGAATGGCACATTGTTTCTTGGAATTTCTTGTATTGACGCGAATTGGTTTGGGGCATGTTATTGCAAGTGCAGGCCAATTGACTGACCCAACACGCCCTGACTTCTAACCAAGGCCAGATGTTCAACGCCGGGCTCCGGCACCTTCGACAGGGCAGTCTGCTGCGTTGAAATCCGAATGCCCTGCGCCCATCCGAACAGACACGGGGAAAAAGGCCGACCGCGCTCCCATAGGCCGAATCGCCTGTCGAGAGACCACAAGGCCAGAGCCTCGCTAAAGCCACAACGTGCGGGCGCCTATCGCGGTGACACACGGCCAGGGACAGCAGGCAAGGCTGAAATCTGCTGAAAGGAAGAGACGACAGCCCGCCAGCCCCAGAATTCAAACTGCTGCGCCTTGAGCGGCTCCCGCTGTGCGCCGTAGCAACTTGCTGAACAGCGGCAAAGGCTGCGCTGCGGTTGACCCAGACGGTGCCTCCTGGGCAGAGCCAAATGCAAGAGCCCGGACATGCCGACGTGGTGGACACCACCAAGGCGCGCCCACTGTGCGGGGCAACCAAGCACCCAAGGTGTAAGCCAACGCGACTGTAAGCCCCACACAGGGGGATTCTAAACATTTGCCACAACGACACACCGACCAAAAGCCCCCCTCACCACGTCAGCCCCCCCGCCCGCGTTACGTAACGGTCGCCGCTCCCGCGCTTATGGTGGCTGGCGCGGCGTGCTCTCGCGCTGACCTTACCGTGCCACCGGAGGCTGTGACCAGGCCCCCTGGACTTGCCTTTCGGCGGTACCTTTGGCGGGCCGAAAAAGGGCGGCCTGTAGCAGATCCAGCGCTGTTTGCCGCATTTTGAGATCGCGGCCGTCAGAAGATCATTTGGCGCGGCAGCGGGCCGGCGCGCGGGGCTGCTGCCCGGGAGGCGCGGACGGGCCTTCTGGAAGGTGAGGCCGCCGCGGGCGAGCGTGGCGGGCGTCCAGGTGGATCCCACAGGCACCGGTGAGGCGGATCGGATGGCAGGCTTGCGAAGATTCCGAGCAGGGCGGGGCGGCACGGGGGGAGGGAGGGGGTTGGGCTTGGGCTTGGGCATGGCGCACACACACACCCTTTTTGGGGGCCATACGGGGAAACTGGCTCGGTGGAGGGCTGTTTCCGATAGTGGGGTGATTTTCTTCTCTCTGGGAGGTGTGCCCGCGAAAGAATGCGCGCGTTTGGGCGTGTTGGTGCCCCATTTTTAGGAGTCCTGGCTGGGTCACGGCATGCGGGTCAGCCGTCCCGCGCCGCGGCCCCTCAGGCGCGGCCGGGGTGCGGGCCTCCCCCCTCATCCGTGCACCCGCGGGCCCGGATGCTTCGGGCTGACATCGCTGCCGCGCCGGTCGGGGGGCACCCGCCGGGGGAGGGGGCGAAAGGGGCGGGCCAGGTAGGCAACGGGAGGCCGGGGGGGACTTGTCGCTGCGGACGGGCGCTCGCGCGGGACGGACGGGGGACGCGGGTCCTCGGTGTCCGTCTGTGCAAGCTGTTGATATCCTTTTCTGGTTTTCTGTTCTGGTTTGGGGGGTTTCTGTGAGCGGGTGTGCCGCGGACATGCGGCGGTTCTGCGTGCGGCTTGGTGATTCGGGCCGGGGCGCGCTGCCGGCGCGGACGCGTTCGCTGGGTTTTGGCTAGTTTGATCAGCGTACCGGTCAACGAATCTTGCCCCCCAGTTGGCCTGAGAGTGGGTGAACATTGTGCGAAGGCAACGATAAGAGCCGCTCGAAATGGACACCCCAAAGGGTTGCTGCGAAGCCGTTCTCGGCTCAGATTTTGGTTTGAGTGCAGCGCCTTGGCAGGCCCTGCCGTGTGTCTTTGCAGCAGCGCATGCAGTCTGTGGTTGCCGTTTGCGATGTCCAGTTCTCTGTTGGGCCGCCAAGTAGCGCCCCTGGAACAAGGGTGGCTACTGCCAAAGAGGCGAGCTTTCCACAGTGTTGCCTGCTGCCCTGTTGCACTGGTGGACTTCCGCATTTTGTTTGTCAACACAGAACGGAGACCCCCCAGAGAATACGCTCAACAGGCGGCCATTTGGTCACATGATTGGGCTTTTTGCCCATTGTCTTGGGCAATGGGCTGTTGGTCATGGGACTTGTGATACGAAAATACTCAGAATAATCGGTGTTTGCTGATATGCAGCTGCCTTTCGATGTGCCCAGTTGGGGTTCAGCTGCTTTGACGCGAGGCGACTTTGGAAGACAAGCACGTTGGCCAGCTGTTCCCACCACCCAACCAGCTGCCATCCAAGTATCCATGATGCTTGCCATGGACACTGAAAGTGCGTCAACCACTCTTTTGCTTGATGAACACTTCTCCTGAGGCTGTTGTTTCACTCCTGATTGTGTTGCCGATCACACTGGGTGTCAAGTTCAAACCATGCACATTTGAATGTTCGAGCTCTCATCGGCACTAGGGAGTTTCTATAGGATCACAGATCCCCGAATGCTGATGCCAACGATACAGGCACAGACACACCTCATTTCGCTCCAGGTGGAATGTTTGGGATGTGTATTGGAGCATTTGAATCCTCAAACTATCTGGATTGTGCTGTGGACCAGAATGACCTTCTCCGAAGCGCATTGTGCAAGTGCATTCATGCCCACCATCTGAGTCACCATACCCATGTGGACACAAGCTGCGTGAAGTGATTCATGATCAGGACCATGTCATAACGAGAGGCCTTGACTGAACTGCACTGTCGCAACTAGTGAATGCTTTCTGCTCCCATTCTGACATGGTGTGTTCCTGTTGCAAGGATTCACAGGTCACCAGTCATCACCCCATGCACAGGCACAGAAGGTGGGCTATTGGAGGTGCCAGCACATTGCGTTGGTGGCTCAAACTTTCAGCCAGACACAAAGGGAAGTCCCTTGTGGGCACCTGCATCATGCCAAGATTTGCAAATCCCAGTCGCAGCGTTGAGCAGGATATTCTTCATACAAGTGCATCAATCCAGCAGGCACTGGCATTGCATGCAGGATGTAGTGGCATGGCAGGTTCCCTGGGTCAGGCTGCTTGACAATCACAGACGGAAGTTTCTCTGAAGAAAAAATCTTTCCTCGTTTTGGCCATCGCACAGTCACAAACGAGCGATACAACACCGCTTTACTGTTGCCAGCAGGACCTGGATGGTGCACAAGCAGTCTTTTGTATCCTTGTTCTGAGGCTGTTCCAAATGTCTCTACAGGTTATTCGACGTGTGAAGAAACGGAAGCGCAGGAGACGCTGGTCAATGGAGCAGGAGGGACCCGCTGCGGTACGTGCTTAAGCTGGATCAGTTGTTAGGGCAACTGTTTGTGGGCTACGTGCAGTTGGTTTGGTGTTGCCCCTGCCTTGGCAATGGATTTGCAGCTGAAGGTTCTCACTTGTGTTGGCCTGTGGAATGAATGCAGTAGGAGCGAAGTGCGGTGATAAGAATCAGGCCGTATATTTACCCCTTTACTTGCTGAAAGAGAGCAGATGCCCAGCGAAGACACCCAGGAAATCTTTGTGTCGATTGGCCAGTGGACTGCCAGGACAAATGTCAGTACTCCCAGACTCACTGTGCCTGATTCAGTGACTTGCTGCCTGCCATACTAATTGCAGGTGTCTCAGTTGTTGTGGGCTGCTGCTTCCAATGGAGATGTGCATGCCCTCAAGCAAGCCCTGGATGATGGCGCCGACCCCCAGTGCACCCACGAACCTGACGGCCACACTGCCCTGACCATCGCGGCTTTGAACGGCCACCTGAGGGTTGTGAAGGAGCTCATTAACCACAATGTGGATCTGAACGACGTGGGCAAGTCGTGTGGCATAACTGCACTGCTGGGAGCCTCCTTTGAGGGCAACCTGGAAGTCGTTGAGGCCTTGATCGAGGCGAAGGCCGATGTTAACAAGGCAGAGGACACCACGGGGGCCACGGCACTGTTTGCGGCGGCACAGGAGGGGTATTTGGACATCGTCAAGGCCCTGGTGAAGGCTGGTGCAGCCGTGGACAAGGCCAGGACGCTGGACGACGCCACCCCCTTGTTTGCCGCTTCAGCGTTGGACCGCCCAGCTGTGGTCAGGGTGCTCGTTGAGGCCGGGGCAGACGTGCACCGCAAGCGGGAGGGGATTGGCGACACGCCCCTAACGGTTGCATCAAGAGAGGGCCACCTAGACGTGGTGAAGATCCTCGCCACTGTTAAATACGCCGCAAAGTCGTCCTCGCTGCAGAGTGACAACGCAGGGGCGATGATTGGGGGCCAGCAGCATGTTGATCTGCTGGAGTCAGAGACGGGTTGTCGAAGGGACATCGTGGAGGTGCGGCCTGTTGGCAGGGAACAGGCTGAGAGCAAGGCGCAGGTTGCACCTGAGGGGGAATTGGATGCCAGGCTGCAGCCGGAGGCAGAGAGAGGCTTGGGAAAGAAGGATGGGGGTGATGAGAACTGCAGTGACATGAGGATGGCACCTGAGCTGGATGATCAAGGGGAGGTGAAAAGGGAAGATGGGCAGATTGCCGCGCAGCTGGAGGCGAAGGGCCCTGACGAGGTTGATCTGGGCTCCAAGGCGGACAGTGAAGGGGATGCTGAGAGGAAGAGTTGGGAGGCTGGGTCAAAGCGACCAGCTGCCGTGAGTGTTGACGAGGTGGGGATTGGAACAGAGTCAGGGCCAAGCAGGACGGTGAACCAGAGGGCGCAGGCGAAAAGGAAAGTTGAAGTCAAACAGAAGGATGGTCAGGCACCCACAAGACGGTCATCGTCCAAGTGTGCTGCTGAACTACAGGGATCGAAGCCTAACGCCCTGAAAGATGGCAGAGGGAAAGACACGCAGGCTGCGGGAACGAAGCAGCGTGCCCAAGAGGGTGAGAAAGCTCACCCGGCCCCCTTGGATCCCGATGCCAACGAGTTCGAGGTCGAGGCACTGTTGAACACCAGGAAAAGGCGGCTGCGGAGCGGGGTTCGTGTGAAGGAATACCTTGTGCGTTGGAAGGGCTTTGGTCCAGAGTACAACACATGGGAGCCAGCCAGCAACCTCACACAAGGTGTGGATGAACTCCTGCAGGAATTGGAGAGAGAGAGGGGAACCCAGGTGTCCAGTGCAAAGAAACAAAAAAGGATGTAAGGATCACATGAGCCATCGGTTTTTCTGTTTCAAGGCTCACGGCCCCTGCACCGCCAGTGTTGCGTGGCGTGGCCTGGGGATGTTTTGGTGGGTGGGTTTGGGGTTTGGTAGGGGAAGTGCTCACCCAGCAGTCCGCATATCATTGCATAGCAGCAGTTCAGTGTAATTTATTGAGTGGAGAGCGATTTCCGGGGGGGGGGGAGGGGGGCCCGGTGTTTGCTGAGTACACGTACTGCCAATTGCCTAGCCACCTGTCGTAATGATGGAATGCAAATGCTGCCTGCCTCTGTCGAATGTTCCACAACAGAAGGTGGGAATGGAATAGATGGCTCCTGATGGCAACCGCAACAGCTTGCACTGGGTGCCTGGGTGAGCTGACGCCCCAACTGTAACGACCATGGGGACGTGCATCTGACCAGACGTGCTGCTTTGGACTGCTGTTCAACTGTTCCAAGCGCTTGGACTGATGGGACATCAGTCACGCATTGAGTGGCAGACCTGTGTACTAAGGAAATTACTGGTCTCCACAAACCCCACCTGACTTCTAGGGGTTGAAGCTATGCCGATTGTGGTGCGCTTAGAATCCCAGCCCCCATCCCACCCCTCCAATCGTCGAGAGCCCTGTGTGGATGCCGGCATGACTTGATAGCATTGGCGAAGGCGAGACGCAACAGTTTGAAGGAATCGGGAAATAGCACATATCTAGGCAAGCAGGTCGTGGTCATCTCCCTGTTTGCGTGCAAGAAATAGTATCCATGATTTCTTCAATGAACAACCCCAAGATATGGCTGCAAATCCAACCAACCAGTGAGTTGCTGCCTCAGAACTCACGAGTTCGCGTAAATTATTAAACCGTTGTAACCGGTTCATTCATCTGCGCCTGCCAGGACAAGGGTTTCTAGACTGTTATGAAAACCCTAGCGCATCAATGCGTTCTACCTGGTTGCCTTCTTTTTGGATTCCAACGTATTACATCAAAAGATAAACAGAGGAGCTCCCCCACAAAACGTAAAGTATGCAAGTCCCTGAAATGAGATCAAAACGTGCTGTGATCTCGGCGGGCTGGCCCGCTATTTCTCCATGGATGCGGGGCAAACTTGCTGTTATTGAAAAGAGGAGAGAGCAATCTGCTGCAAAGCAGCATCGCGCCGTGCATCCCCCGGATTCCAGCCTTCCCAAGAACAGTCAGCAGAATGCTGAAACTGCATTTGCCCCCATATGCCAGCGGACAGATGAACCTCTGGCTTTCTGACACTGCGCATGGAAGTTGACTTCGCTCAGCTCGCTTCTTGTTCTCAGATCTTGAAACGAAACTTCAAAATGAATGTGCAGAAACCTTTCCATGCCAGTGCGTTGGTTATCTGCAGCCTAGACTTAACGTTTTATGCTCTGGAGCTTTAAACCAACAGGTGTCAAGACTGCATTTGCACGCCGCCGCGGGGAATGTAATTATCACAGGCCTCCTGAATTCGGAGATACGCAATTCTATGCAAATCTGCGCAAATCACAACCCAAGAGAATCTGCGCATTGTTAATTGAGGAAAAGCCGCAAACCGAAGTATGTAGCGAGGAAGGAATCTCGCCTGAATCTTGAGGGAACCATTGAAAGCCCATGTTGTCAACTTGAGCTGCACATTTATACAGCCATGGGCTTGCTCAGCCGCCAAAACAATCGGGATGTTGCCTGACTGTGCTCCATCAGCACTTCAGCGCAAAATAGGAAGCGTGTTCCCCCCTTATAATTGGGACTTGCTCAAGGGTGGTGCTGACAGCTGTCAATTGACGACGCCTGTCGGTATCTCGACTTAGGTGAGCAGCACAATCACGTGCATTGGCTGCCGCCAGCCCAGGCGAACCAGTGCACAAATTTTGGCCACCCAGATGATGCAATTGAACTACCCTTTGACTCGCACCACAGGCATCAACATTGCTTTTTTGTATGGATACACATTATTATTGCTTTTTTGTACGGATACACATATTACAACAATGTATGAATACGTCGCCAACAGACGAACGTCGCATTCCACGGCAGCAAATGTTCTTATCAGAATAAAATCATCATCATAATCACCATCATCATGATCATCATCATAACATCAAAACATGATTGTAATCACATATCTTGATGGCCCCATCAGCTCCGATTTCGCCCGTGCAGCACAACAACAGTCCCCCACATACTGCAGGTTCGGTCCGTGCCGGAATACTGGCGGCTATCCGCCAGTAATGTGAACAGTAATGGAATACTGGCGGCGATCCGCCCCTAATGTTTTAGTGTAAACGCGCCATCTCAGCTCCAAGGACGCGTCGTTCACCTTGCTTGTCGAAATTCCATGAATTACATTTGTCATAGAGCGTATGACAAAACAGACCCTTGCACCTGGTAGGCGATGACGGGCCACATGCAAGCCAGGTCCAATGTTTGTCCCTTGTTCAGAGCATGACCTTGCTTGTGTATGGTTCAGTTTCAGAAGCACAAGGAGCGGGGTTTGGCAGGACAAGGGCCAAGACCCAGGTGAAAGAATGGAAGGAGTAGCCGCGTTCAACAATGTGAAGGTCAAAGTTCTAGTCCACCCACACCACGCTGAGACCGACAAGACGCTGTTCAGACGTTTGTTTGCAATCCAGATTCTGAGTACGACAACGAGCGAATTATATGTGGTTCAAGAATGTGCAACATCAGGGCAAGGAGGTAGCCGTCAGCGCTCCTATTTGCCCTGAGGAAAGCAAGCAGCGAAAAAACTGACGCTTCCTTCAAATTCCTCAGATTGTCCCCGGTTTGACAATTGGTATCCTTGACACCGATTCTCTGACCGGCGACAATCTCAGGACTCCAAAGAGAGCCTCAGCTTGTTTCGGTGGTAGACCTCGCGACCGCAGTGGACCACCGCGAGTTGCACCATCGATGTCACCTTTAAACCAAACAGTCGATCGCAGAACTGCCGGTCGCAATTTGTTGCCACTCGTCTTCACCATCATCATCGTTGAGACGAAAACCCAGAACACTCACACGATAGCTCCCAGGCATGGGAAACCGAGCTGTAAACATATGCATTACAGGACAAGCGCACCTCTCAAATAGCACTCGTTGTAAAAGTTCTCAATTAGTAACAATCGCATCTCCATGCTCATTGCATCATATTCAGCACCATGTTCAGTGTGTCCAGTCACACCATATTTAGCGCCATTCCCTTTATAATCACCTGCTCATTTCCCTCGCCCTCTCAATCGCCACTGTGGACTTGTAAACAGCGTGGCAGGGAAGCAGCCGCCAACTTCCTGCTTGCCCGAGCAAAGCGGTGTCTATGATTTGCTATTGGCCTTTCCAAACTCAGCTCTTCATCCGATCGCGTTCGCTCCACCACACAAATGTTAGTCCGCAACCCCGCTGTACCTCACAACATAGAACGGCTAATATGCTTGAAGACAAACCAAAGAGAATACCCAGGATGAAAACCAATACGTCAACACCCCTTCAATCGTTCGACACAAGCCTCCTCAGCGTGAACCACGCTTCCCATCGTGTCCTTTTCATATTTCCACTATCAGGCTCCCGCAACTTCAGATGTACAACAAATTCTCATAGCTCTTGGGAAAAAAAGGAAATTCTTGCACCAGATCTGGTACGAGCATCTCCACCGGATTTGATCACCAGGTACAGTATCAAACCAATTCAGAAAACAAACCCACACAATGACATGTTCTGGCGACAACTGTTGCGGCCCCGTCGGCAGCCGCTGGTTTCCGGAGGCGTTGGGGTCGCCCTGCCCTGCAGCTCGGCTGTTGGAGGTCAGCCGGCCCTCTCCACCTTGGACGGTGGGCGTATCCGGGGCAGTCGCTCCTGTGGTCGCGCGGTGGGCCCAATGCTCGACGGGGATCGATCCCCGGGGCCTGCTGTCGGCGAGAGGTGGCAGTGCAGCGAGGCGGTGGTTCGCTGGCTCGCGGGAGGCCAGAGAGTGGGCCAAAAGTGTTACAACGATTCACTGCATGTGCGCGCACATATTGCATGCGCGATGCCCGATCGCGGGTCCATCGCGGTCACATCATGACAAGACAAGACAAGTGCGCGTCCAGGCACCTCGTCACCGTCCACCGTTCACCTAAATCAGCTCCGTATAATCCCCGATGCTTCCATCTACCGGTCCGAATCCCTTGCTAAAGTACTGCAACTTCAAACGGCCATAACTTCGCCGTTTCTACACGGAATTGGACGTTTCAAGGCGCTATTGGCATCAGGAGCTCTTGAATAAGCTGATTTTGCCGTATTTGCACTTTTTCGACCAACCGCAGCTTCAGAAAAGCCAATTTTAGCCTAACCCCAAGTAACCACGTCACATTACTCCCGAGAGCGCGGCCATAGCCACCATACGCTGATACATGCATCATCACAGCCAGGTCTCGAGTCGTTGGTTTGACAATCCACGCGAAATGCCATCAAGCTTTGAGTTCGTGGTCCGACTTCAAAGGAGACACCGCGACCCAGGAACAAAGCAATTGAGAGTGCCGCCTTGACGAATCCGCTCAAGTCCGGACTCATTTCTAATAATTTCTTGCACCAAGGTCCATTAGCGTTGCCTTAACTCTATCCCGACATTTGGACGTCTTGTTTTAATCCAACACAGCCGTACCCCATCGAAGGACCGATCGAAAGTCTTGCCTTTGGACACTAGCAATCACGGAGATCACACTCCAGGCATTCTGCTCCCAGCTGCGTGCGCCCACCACCCCCCTGAAGGGAGCGTGGCCGTTGCGCTCCCTTCCCTTCACCACAACGCCACCCCATGCACTACAAACACACCATCCAAGCTGGTCTCGAAACAAACACAACCTATTAGGCCAGGGTCTGTGGTGGCCTATTAGTAATAGGCCACCGCGCCCGCACGCTAGTACCCACCACCCTGCTCAGGGCCGACGGCAACGGCAATCCCCACAACGCGCACAGCCCTCGGTGCCACCGCCTGCGGCGACAGAGCCTTGGGCTCCGCCTCAGAGCCCCCTTGGCCGGCCGGCGCGCCCCGCGGGCCCGGCCCCGGCTGCATGGCTCACCTCGAGGCGGGCTGCGCCCGCGCGATGGCGTCCCTGCGCCGGCACGACGGCCTGCTGTACCTGGTCGTGGAGGGCGAGGAGCGGCAGCTTCAGAGAGCGGAGAGGCGGGAGGCATTTCTGGAGAGCATCGTGGAAAGGGAGGGGGCGGAAGTGGAGGAGGGTTGCCCGAATGAGGAGGCCCAGCCTCGCGCGGGCGAATTGGAGGTGCGGGTTTGGAGGCGATCGAGGGGGGTGGGGAGTGGGTGGGAGGGTGAGATTTGTTACAAAGAGAGATAGAGTGCCAGAGACAGGTCATTCAAGGGGCGCCCCCTTCTGAGCAAGCGTGTGGGAGAGTCTTTTCCATGCCGTGGGGTGATGATGTGGAGTCTCCGGTGCGAAATGATGAGCAAGCAACACAAGCAACAGAAAAGGCGGAGGAATGTGCACTCAGGGGTAGGGTTGCGGGTGGGCGGGTGCGGTAGGCGCATGGGCGGTGAGGAGGAGGGGGCAATGGCGTGGGGATTTGTGAAGGGGGGGGGGACGAGGGATGGCGGTTTGGCGTTGGGAGGTGCCATGGGGCCCGTTGGGCGAGCTGGGAGGAAGCATGGTCTCGGAATTGGGTTTCTGGAATAGCTGTAGAGCGAGAAGAGCTGCTGTGTGCATGGATATGGCTGGCATTTTGGGCATTTTGCTTTTGCTCAGGGGATTTTGGGCCGCAGGATGTTTGCCAAGTGAGGGCCTCCTGTTTGCAAATTTTTGAGCAGCAGCTCCTTTAGCAAACCTTTCAGGGACAAGGCTTCACGTGGGGATCCCACTGATCTTCAAAAGCGAAAATTAATTGGGCAAGTGCATGACTTGCAGGGGACAGTTGACCCCAGACACCATTTGCTGGGCTGCTTTGTTGTTGGATACACTAATCCCCAAAGCAGCAGACGCTTTGCACGAATCTGCACTGATATCATCGTCAACATGGCACAATTTCTTTGCTGCGGCCATATCTATTCTGGTAACTGCTGAAAGAATGCAACTCACTTCCCTTGCACATGTAGGGTAATGTTGGATTCGGATCGCATGTGATGGTTTGACCCATTCCACACTTGTTTCCTTGTGAAAAGCATATGTGTGAAGCCAGTATTGTCACTGGTGTTTATCTTGGCAACCATGTGCACATGGCTGCACTCCCTTAGGTTTGGTCTAAATAGATATGGTGGGAAATCGATATTGGACCCTCAGGATGGATCTGCACGAACTGGACAACTATTTTCTTTATTTAAAGTGTTAAGTTTGATCTTTTTGTCCACATTCATGCCACAAGGCAAAAGCTGTCAACTACAAAAAAGGACAATCTTGGTGTGTCAGTGCTAGTTCAATGATGGAGACGGGAACAATGGAAGCAAGGAAGTGTGGGAGTTAGGAAAAAAAATCTTCTTACGTTACCCTTGGCAATTGGGCCCTGCAGGAATTGTATTGCTGATGGTGTTACAGCCAATCAACTGACAAGATATATTCCATGCATCAGAAAGATGATGCTACCATCCCATTCAAGGTATCCAAAATCGCTGTTAAATCATGCTGATGACAGCCTTGCGCAGCTTTCAAGAGTGTATTTGCAAGAATGGCTACACACCTCCACTCCAGTGCCCCCATTGTCACAAGTCCAAAGAGTGTAGGTTGGAATGCAGGACATTGTAGACAAAGTAATCCCCAATGTGCAACCAGGTCAACAAACAGGGCGGGATCATTGCCCCGGAAACCTTGCTACAGGGCCAAGATGTGCCATTTGCACCTGCATTCAATGCTGTGGTGGTCCACCGTGCTCCCTGTCCTGTACATGCCTTGCAGGAAAAGAACCAGCAGTGCTGAAGAAGCCCTGTAACTGGAATTGCAGCTGTCGTCCCATTGAGATGCAAAGGGCAGTGCTTTGTCACCGTTTGCAATGCCATCAGAGGATTCAGTTGTCTTGGATGGACTAATGCGTTTTTGGATCTGACTGGAAGTTGAAGTCCATAATGCTTTCGTTGTTGTTCGAGTCCTCATCGTCCACCCACATCAAAGGATGAAAATTCTAGTCCCGTGCTTTTACTAAATCTGGTCACGTTCGATGATGCCTTGCATGGCTCGTTGTGCTGACATTAAAGCTGTACAGGACTTGTCTGTGAGGAAGACCTTTCCACAAGGGCCAGACGCTTCCAAGCACAGCCACCCAAAACCTTCCCCTTTGTTTGCACCATCGCCAACGACCACAGACAAGGGTCCAACACCTGGTTACCAAAATGCCAAGAAGAGAATGCTGGATACCACAGGTAAATATCACAGGCAAAACAAGCTGATCACGCAGGAATTCTTTGTTACACCCGAAGTGGCCAGTTGCAAGTTTGTGCAGTGAACCTGTGCACTGCAGCTGCAGGATGACTTGCAGTAAGGCAGGTTGTTCAAAATTGAAGGCAGCAATGTGTCCCGACTGTAAAACATGGCAAAAGGGAATGGGACGTGATGCTGCTTGTCATGTCCAGGGAAGGAAGACGTTTCTGATGCTGTCGGGAGGAAGCGGATCAAGCTGGATGGCACTGCTGACAGCTTGCTTCAAGCAGGGCCAAGCATGCCTCACACCTCCACCACTTCTGTGGGCAGAGGGGACACACCCCAAAGCCAGATCGCAGAGGCCCCAGGCAAGATTGCAGAGGCACCAGGCAAGGTTGCAGTGGGCCCAGGCAGTGAAAGGGTTGAGAATGCAGATGGGAAGCGCCTTGATAAAGGGAGCTTGACTGGTGGGAGAGCAGCTGCTGGCTGTGGTGTACAAGAGACTGTGGCGCCGGATACTGACAGACGTTCACCAGTGGCAGCAGAGAGTAAGTGTTCTGCCTGTTGAAATGTCTTTTTTCTGTGCAAAGCTTTAGCGGAGGTCCGCAGCACAGTTTCATGTAATGTAACGTGTGCAGGCTGTTTTTAAGTCTCTCCAGGTGTCAGACAATGAACTGCTGATTCTGTGGCTGGCTCTGGCTGGCTTTGGCGGTGGCCCAATTTATGTTCATGGAATGCATTGACTGCAGTCCAGCAAGCCAGAGATCATTGCTGCAAGTCTAACTTGTGAAGGAGATGTGAGCCTTACGCTGAGCCTGTGCTTATACTGAAATGCACTCTCGTCTGTGCTAGCAACTCTGGGGCCTGTACCAGACAAGGAAGATGGCGACCAACACATGGCTGAGGAGGAGGAAGGGCCTGATGAAGGGGCTGAGGACAGTGGTCTGGAGATAGAGGGTGACACGCAGTGCGCTCTGTGCGACAATGGTGGTGACCTGCTAATGTGCGATGGCCCATGCTTGCGTGGTTTCCATGTACCAGAGGAGGAGGACAATGAGGGTGCGCTTGGCACAAGCTCAGTGGCTGGGAGATGGGCTGTACGCCTGATGTATGCTTGCCTACGGAGCAGAGCTAATGTTTGTTGCGTTGTACATGGACTGACGCAATAGTAGAGTCAAATGATGCATGATTGATCAATCTGTGTGCCTATGCAGAAGCAAAGCCCTGTGTGGCTGTTGTTGGCACTCGTTTTTGGAATGGACTGCAAATTCCTGCAGACAACCTTGTTCAGAATTGTAGCGTGGAATGCGCATTCACAACATTTCGTGCAGAGGAGAAGCAGTGTAGTGTATACTATTCAAGCAACAACAACACTCAATGAAGCAGTATTTTGGCCTCTGAATGTTCAAGGGATTACTGTGCATATGCGCACATGCCCACCAGTGTCACAAAGAAAGATGTGCAGCATGAACTTCTTGAGATGATGGTCTGGATGTGCCTTGAACAGATTTGAGTATGAATGACAAGGAGTACACAGGGCAAATGGGAAGCACAAAACGCAGCTCTCACTATACATGCCATGGCTTTGCTGTTTGTAGTGACCCTCTAACTAGTTGTGAAGATCTTATGTGTAGTTGGGAACTCACCTTTGACAGGAATGTATTGACCAATCTGTCATCTTGCGCTGAGATGTCTGTGAACAACTTGGAAGCAATATAGACAGCTGCTGATAGTTTCTTGGCCTTAGGCAGAGTTTGGTTCGAGCTGGGACAGGGGTGCTGTGCGTCCTCTTTGGGGTTTCCGTACCTGTTATATGTTTCCACAAGTCAGTATTTATGATGTTTCACACATTATATTCTATGTTATTATTTGCTAGTTGTGTTATCCAGGGTAGTGGGAGTTGTTTGCTGGCGGGACACACACGGTTGCCTGGTTTATTTTTGTTGGTTATGGCAGACTGCAACCCTCTGGGTGTGCCTACTGATCTGGCAAAAGCGATCATGGAGGGCCACAGCTCTTTCGAATGTCCAAACTGTGCCACGGGCATCCAGCAGTGCTACAGCTGTAAGGAAGAGGGCCCATCCCAGGGTCCCCACCAGGATCTGTACAGGTGATGCCTGAAATCCATGTGGGCCGCCATCTGCTATGGTGCCCATTTGCTTTTGATATCACACCTGCTAGAATCTTGTCTCTCTTTGTGGCAAAGCCCTCCAGGTAGACTGTAGCCTCAGATATGTTCCTTTTCGTTCAGCCCCACCGTGCCTTTCTGTCTTGGATACCCAGTGCACCCGTCTGCCAGCATGTCAACAACTGACTCAGGGAAGCAATACAATGGTGCAGGGCCCAATAGTCCATTTTCTACTGGTGGGTTGGCAGCTGTTGTCATGCATTTTGCATTCACCTATTCTCTTGGCCCGTCCATTTCTGCAATTGGTATGCCCACCGGCATCTCAACAGTGTAGCTCCTTGACTCTTGAACTTGAAGTTTTGTGGTGCATCTGTGAAGTAGTCTGTTTGCTTTTGGTGCATACTATGCAAGGTTGCTGTACAAATCTATGCACACATAGGTGTGTACAGCAACCTTTTTTGTGATCAAGTAGGCTGTACGTAACAAAAGAAAGGGCAACAGTGTGCGGGAAGGCGTTGTGATTTTCTTGGCCTACAAGAAGCATGCTCACTGTTGTTCCAATATGACAATCAATGGATGTCCCCTGCAGATGCTCCCACATCAACTGTGGCAAGTTCTACTGCATGCGATGCCGGGAAATGATGCTGCACTCCAAGGGCCTCAAGGGCCTCAAGGGTTCACGCAATGGCACACGGGTCCCAGGCTCAGCAGGGCAAACTGTGGCCATCAGTGGAAAGGCAGGAGCTGGGTCACCAAAGGGAATGTGTGAGCCCGACGCCAAAGGAGGTCTCTTCCTGTGCCCTTTACACAAGTGCAAGGTTTGTGGCGAGGGCGAAGTGACGAAAAAGAACCCTTTGGTCGGCTGCCGGCGGTGCCCAAAGGCATATCACAAGGACTGCATGCCACCCACGCTACGTAACGATGAGCAGCGAGTGTGGCTGGCGAAGTACAATGAGGACGGCACAGTGGCGGACGAGACGGAGGTGAGTCGAGACCTGTTCTACTGCAAGAGGCATGCCCTGGCGGAGGATGTGATGGCCACAGGAGCTGTGCATGACAAGCCACTATTCTCTGACGCCGTGATGAACAAGTGGAGGAAGATGTATGCACATCAGTACTCGTACCTGGAGTCATCCATTGAGTACCTGGTGAGTGGGTTTGATGCAGCACATTAATTACTTCCCTTGAAGCAACACCAGTCAATGCGCTTGCGCATATTATTGGGTTGTCGTTGTTGGCAGCATTTGGGTTTAGCTGCAGTGTTGTTGACTTGCATTGGGGGGGCAGGCTCCCTCCTGAAACTGCTGGTTTGTCATTCAGGGGGGGCCACGGTTTAGCGACCTGTCTAGGTTGAGCGACCCCTGAACGGCTTGTCACTGTTCCCGTAGTACTTTATTTCACTGCGACAGGCCCCAGCGCCCGCGACTTCGGCCATGCGACAAGTCGCTGGCACCAATTGCTAGTATGGGCCTGGTAGGCCGGGTGTTGCATACCCCCTACCTGGCCGCCAGGGTACCCCTTATATAGGCAGCTAGGGTATCCCCTACACCAGCATCCATGGTACCCCCTACACCGGCATCGCTGCCTGAGGCGCCTTGCGGGACTTAACTACTGCTAGACTGCATTAAGTACTGCTGAAGCACTTGAAGTACTGGGGGACCGTGATGGCCTGTCTAGACTTAGCAATCCCTCAGCCACTTGTCACGAGGTGTCGCTAAACCAGGGCCCCCACTCTAATTGGTGTTGGTGTTTTGGTACAGAAAGAGACACTCTATGTCGATTTTGGTATGCTCAGTGTCAAGTTGATGCTATTAGGGGTGTCCAGACCTGTGACGCTAAGAGATTATGTAATTGACACAAAATCGACTAAAGGAGGAAAGGCGCCCAAAATGCAATTGATGCACAGCAAAAAACCCATGACATGTTCCTAAGCCTCATGCAAGTATTCGATCTTCAAAGACGGCCTTAGAATAGATCAATTTGCAGCCCATGAGGCTGCCAGCCTCACCTATAATGGAGTTTAGAGCCCAAGTTTTCAACCCACTGAAGTCAGCACAACTTTCCTTGTTTTGGCTACCTAGAAACACCTGGAAGTTGAATACTATTGTTATGTAATGTTGCTGAGTCATCCTGCCTTCCACATAAGGATTGACCCAAGGAGGGGGGGAAAATTTGTCGCAAAAGGGAAAGAGAAACAGGTCATACAAAGAGCACCCCCTACCAGGCAAGTGTATGTGAGGCTCTTTTCCATGCTATGAAAAGATGCTGTAGAGCCTCTGAAGCAAATATTAGCACACAACACAAGCAAGTCATAGGCTAAGGAGGGGGGGGGCTCTGAACTTAACGTCAAATTGATGCTAAGCTTACCAAAATGGACATAGCGTCTTCCCTAGCTGCTGAAGAGTTTGTGACTTTGGAACGTACTGTAATTCAGCACTAAATGACGTATTCCAGTCTGCATGGAATAGCAGAAGTGTCCAGCAGCAGCAACTTATTTTCACACATCAGTGCACCAAATAGAGGATTGCACTGCAAAGGCATAGTTTGTCCATCTTTGTGGGCCAGCCCCAACAGATCCCTCTCGATCCAAAGAGCTTTTGAAGCGATGGAGACCTTGCTTTGTTGTATTGGTCAACAGCTCAAAATCGCTGCCCACACAGCCACAAGGCTATGATTGGCAATTGTTTCAATCCATAATGTGTTGCATGTTCTTGCAATACCTCACTGCAATGGTGGCAGCAGGTGTTGATTTAATAAACATATATGTTTTGATAAAAACGCATAGCAAATGTATGATAATATTTGCAATATTGTGTATTGTACAATGTTTACTGTTAGTCGTGCAGATCATCTGCAGATAGCACAGACAAGTGGTGAATACCAGGTTGACATGGGCGAGAGGATGCCATGTCAAGTATCGCTGGAAGTTCCCCTTGTCTGGTTGGAATCGAGTCTCGTACCATCGTACTGCATGGGAAGCGATCTGTCACAGTGCATGTTTTGCTCTGTCTTGTCTTGCCATCACAGCACCTGTCATCAATTGATGCAAGTTTTGGTTCCATCCTTTGAGAGACCGGATTTGGTCTGGAACTACACTTTCCAGCAGCATTACGCACGTGCTTATGACGATGCATGACTGCATGTCCTGCAAGTGCTGTCGACTCTTTGAGGCCAAGGTTGAAAAGCAGTTATCTCAGGACACATACAAGTGGACAATAGAGGTACTTCCTCTGTCAATGTAAGGAGAAAGTATTTCAAAGGTAACAGCATGCATTGTTCCATTGCTGTTCGAGAATGTTCAATTGCCCACACTTGGAACCCTAGGACAAAAAAATGGAGGCAATCCAATGTACCAGTGGGGACTGGAGTAATGGTGGCCACATCGCCGTCTGATTACAATGCCGTTGCCTGTCTGTTCCATAGGAGAGCCTGGAGAGGGCGAGGAGGGCACCAAAGCAACGGGCAGATCGGAAATACCTCAAACCAAAGAGCAGGCTCAAAACGCATCAGCGGTCCAGCCCCCAGGCCATTGCACGTTCTTCAAAGGTTGTGGCAGCAGCCCCAAGAGTGAAGATTGGTACCATGGAAACCAGGCCAGCAGCCGATGCTGAGGACATTGACAGCAGGTACGATATGTTTGGCAACTACACTACGGGACATGAGGTGAGAAGGAGGCTGTGTGAGGCCCAGCGTGCACTGAGCGAGAGGAATGTTGAGGCAGTGGTCTGGAAGTTTCCCCCCTACGATGATGATGCCAGAGTGCCCAAGCTGACCCCAGACAAGGTGGAGGGATGGCTGAAGTCAGTGAAGATGGCACAAGAGCACCCCCACAGTGCCAGAGATATCATACCTGACAAGGTGCGCTTTGGAGGCCTGTCACTTGACATTTCCCCAGGGTGGGCACAAGATTGTGTGCTTGGTACTTCGTTCCTGTGGACACTTAGTCCTGATGAGTGGTATTCTGTGGCTATTTTGTGCTGTGACATCCATGTATATGGTGGTCGATGAGATAGTAGCACACAAATCATGTCCATGAATCGAGCAAGATCTCCTGCCAATGGATGTGTGCCATGTAACAAAGGCATAAGGCTGTCCACACACACACACTGATGATCAGCTGGCAGTTTTCATTTGTTCGAGTTGTCCGGGTGCTCAGCGAACTCGTTTCATGGCATTGAACAGGATATCAAGAATACCAACACCTAGTAGGGCTGTCTTGTTTGTTTCCCACTTGAGCACCCAGGACTCCTGCAATAGGAGCAGCAGACATACAGCAACTTCTTGAGAACTGTTCCACGATTCTCGAAGGCATGTTCAATTGTCTGAAATGGGACACTTGTTGAGGTCATTGTGATCGTTCTCATGGCTGATGTGTCTCTGCATGGCTCAACAGACTGCCCTCTCCATATCCAAGGCAAAAGATGTTCTGCAAAGTTACTTGGGACCATTGCTCTTTTCACGGCGGTACACGTCCTATGGAAGGCATTTCACAATCCCAGAAGTCCTGGACGAGGTGGTGCGTCAGCTCTTGAAGCACATTGCAGTTGATGACCAGGTGGTTGACTTCAGCTGCGGGTCAAACGCATTTATTGCATTGCTCAAGACCCTTTGTGAAGGCAAGGAGGTTAGTGTAGGTTTGCAAAAGATTCTTTGGTGCCTATGGGCTCATGCCTGTACATTGGCGTTGGAGTTTTTCAATGCTTCTAAAGACTCATGATCTTTGTGTCCTTTCTTCGGATTTTTTTGATTGTGTTTTTCACGAAAATATGGCACACACAGCCCTTTGCATTTAGAATACGATGATGGGCACAACAACATCAAAGTGAATTTTTGTTTCTTGGACATGGATCTACATGCCGATATCTTGTGTTTCTTTATATTCTTTATTATTGACGAGCTCTCTTGCCAGCCTCGGAGCCAAATGTACTCCGCAGGTGGTGTGGTCGTCTATGTTGGAAAACACATCTGTTCTGTGAGCAGACGGCCTGCAAAGTGCAGCTTTCTGACAGCTGGAAGGCTCTCAAATATCATCCTTGTGGGTAGTGTTGTCAACTGTTACAAGTTGTTGTTGCATGTTGTCTAGTAATCTTCAAATCTGTCTTCAGCATATGTTTGCATTTTTAATCACTTGTGGGACGGCACAGATTGACTTCAAGGCGTATGACCCCTTCACTCCAAAGGTCACTACAGCCTGGCAGAGGGAGAGCTGGTTTAATGTCAGGCCACGCCAGTTGAATCCAGGTACCTCACTGACCAATGAAGAACATTGCCTAACCCATTGCCCTGTATTTGGTGTCAAATGGATCAGCTGCTTGCAGCAATACTCCTTCACAGTGGTAAATTGCATGCTGTGCACCGTGTACTACAGTAAATTCTCCCATAATGATGTCAGTTGAGATGTTACAGCCATGCACTAAGTACGTTCAGGCCTGGGAGCAATGAGTATATATCGGCCACATTGTGTGCTGAAGAACAGCCCAAGCACTGCTTTTCCAGACACTTAGTCAGCCAGGTCCAGCAGTATTGTGAGCATGAGTCCCCTTGTCAAGCCAATGAAGGGGTTTCCCAAAAAACAACACAGTGTGACGATCCAAACCCGCACCAAGAAAAGTTCTGAACTCCATGGTGTCCATGAAAGATGCCAGAAAGAGTAAAAAAGCAACCAAAATCAATGTTGGTGCTCAGAAAAGAGCACCCCAGCTGAGCATAAAAACATAAGAGAGTGATAGCAGGCAAGGAAACAAGATTCCAGAAATGATCCAAGAGAGCCCTAAAATTGCACCAGAAACGAACCCGATAAGAGCACCAGCCTGGAACAGAAAACAATGGCATGGGCCACTTCCAGATCAGAAACGTGCAAGCAACAACTCCCAGCATTTGCCTCCACTAAGAAAGACCTGCTTCAGCTCCAAGAAGTTGCCAGCTATCTTTGGGATGAGGCCATCGAGTGAAGGCTTCACTTGTGGTCGCCAAAATGTCACATGTTGGTGCTGGTGATGGTACTTGCCACAATCCTGTAGAAGATGGACAGCGGTGCTGAGGCAGCTGCAGTAGTCTCATCAGGACGAATAATGACATGGTTCTGTTGCAGGTATTGCTGTTCCATCAGTAAGACCAAACCATATCATTAACACGTGCCCTGGCATGTGGGGCTCTCCCTTCATTTACATCTGCCCAACTGGTTTTACCCCTAGTGTCCCTGTGCCCCACAATGCGGTCGCATGTATTCAATTCTGAACTTCTTACAGCAACTGTCCACCTTGGCACATTGAATGGCCAGGTTTTTATAAGATGTCAGTTGTTTGGCTAAACCATTCGCCAATGTGTATCATGTTGAGGCATGAAATCCGAGGTCCCCAAACTGTGGGCACAGGAACACTCATGACAATGGGTCAAGATCCCAAAATGTTGGCACCACTGACGAATTCAAGAGCAACAAGTCATCCAGCACTTTCCAAAGTGCAGTAGAGTGCAAGCAAGGAGCAAAGGTGAAAATTTGTGAAACCTTGCCATGTTTTTGCCTTGAAAGCCAAAGATGCCTGCCACAGCCAGCTATGCAGACACACACCCCAAGCACACACCTTACCTATTACCACTATTGCTGCACTTGTCCATATTCATCTGGGTGCAAATGAGCTCCTTTTATTCAGGGGGGACACCGCATGCGCTGCATGCACTGCTAGATCTCCAAGGTCCAGCTGCCAGTTGAGTCCCCTGCCTTTCTTGGCACCGCGTGATTGCAAAGAGCTGGAGTGGCAAGTGGTGGATTAGGTATTGAAAATCATCGTACCCTAAGGGTGCACCACAGCACGATCTCAAAATTCCTTGTGCGTTTGGATTGCACCCCCACAGCTGAAACTTCTTGGGCTTTGAAATCGAACGATAAGCATCATTCCTGTAATTTTGGTGCTATCAGCTGCACGCCAGAGCTTATCAGCATCTGCACCATGCCCTGTCACATGGAAAGGGGCACTTGTATCACAGTACTTAACGAACGTACGTGTGGCTCGAACTATTTCTGATTGTTTATGTCCTGAAGTAAACCAACTTTGTGGTCAGAAACCAGTAAATGTCATGTCCAGCTGCTCCTCCCTGTACAATGCAAATTTTCAGGCTTTCCAACTTGAGCCCCATCCTGTCTGAAGAAGAAACCAGAATCCGGTTTCTGGCTGGTGGCCTATGATTCGTTGCAACTGGGTTCACAATGTCAGATGTGGGAATTCCAATAAATAACAAGTTACCATGGGCACAAACCTCAGCTTCAACTAGCCAGACATAAGAAGAAACCCCTTGTGTACCAGCCAATATAAGGTATGAAAGTTAACAGATGAAGGCAATACTTGTTGGTACACATCAGGTCAGTAAATCCTGATGTGTTCCAGCCAGCTGCACATCAAGCCTCCCTGGGCGTAATGCAATAGATGTGAGTGGTTGTACCTGGTTCCACGGCTTATTGATGAGCCCATGGCATGCCTTCCCAACCTGGCCCTGAGCGTCATTGTTGATCCCTGGACTATCACCCATCGTCAAGTCCATATTTGTGCTGAGTACAGTTCTTCTCTGAGTCAGCATCACATCGTAGTTGAATGGTTTGGTAGGGCAGACACCCCTTGGAATTGCCATTCCATAGTGATTGATATAGGAGCTGTTCCCTGTCGTATGGCAAATTGATTGTGAGGTCGTTGCTACCATTTCACATCAATGTAGTCCCTGGCCCTATCCATGGCCTCAAGGGCCATAGCATTGGACGAAGGAAAGTCCCCACCCATGCGACATTGTGCCCGCTTTGTTTTAGCTGCCCTGCAGCCATCGTCATACCACGACGGTGGTATGCAACCACAGGAAACATGGTCTGGAGTTCAAGTGCCAATTCCTTGTCTTGTCTCTTACCTAATGCAGTTGATGAAAGACAAAAGTGGCACGAACAAGTACTGTAATGTACTGAGCCTTATTGCACTGTTCCCAAAATAGAATCAGTGGTCGCACAATTTCAACACGCCTAGTACATAACAACATTCGGCAGAAGTGCATTCTACACAGTTTGTGTGAATGAAGAAACGGTTTTGATCTCATTGCATTGTGTTCTTGTAAATGGTGGGGTGTCATCATGATCAGAGTTGAATATTACACTTGCAGAAAACGCCAGTTTGGCAGCACCAATTGGCAATACCCTTGTGACACTAAACCATGCCCTCACAGTGATCGCCATGGCAAGATTGTTGTAATAGCGTCAATAAGTGTCAAGCAGCATCGCAGCGGGCATCACCCAAATGGCGTTTTCTGCTCGTGCGACTGATGCATGCTGTGAGATGTGTTAGAGATGGATAAAACCTGAAAAAAACAGGGCTTGGATGGAATAAAGCAGCACCAGTCATCGCCTTGCTATTACAAAGAGAATCCTGAAGCCCCGTAAAATGTGGTTGGACTATTTGGAGATATGTTCACAAGCAAAAGCCGTTCATTAGGTGCAAATGCATGTAGGTAGCGAATGGTAATTTTAACTACAAAATTTCACGTAAGATAACGTTGCATTGCATTTCATTCGGATATAAGGATGCAAAGCACATCAATTCTGAATGGTGCCGATGCCTAACCTCAGCACCATTTGTGGCGAAATGAGTACATGGCCTAAATGCTAAATTCTTTTAAATATTTCACCTACAAAAGGTGTTCTTTGTAACCATGCAAAATATTAAATGGCAGTTATATTCACCATCAAATTCAATATGTGCAGAACTGTGGGGGATGGAATAGTTAAAAAAGGGCAACCAACCTGATGGTAAGGCCTGATGGTAACCTTCAGTTGGGAGCCCGAACATCTGTGCTGCAGCATTAAACCCCAACTCATGACTGCCATATCTTCTGTGTTGCAGTCATGCGGTCTTGATCACTGTGAGCATCCAACAATGCACACGTCCAATTCTGGTTCGACTCAAAGATTATAAGGAACACAATAAGATTTGGTCACTTACCGTGCTTTTGTACACATTCAAGCACCCTGTAGTCCTTAGCACCCCTGTACCTCCTCAAGGTGCACTAAAATTTACCAAGCAACATCAGGAGCATTCCCATAATAGTGCACAGAAACGGTCAAAACGGTCAAAAACAACTGAAACGACCAAGCATTGGAATGCCAGAAATGAATAAGAGGGCATGTTGAGGGTTGGTAACGATGCCAAAAAGCAAAAATGTGAAAAAAGGCAGGTGCAAGGTACCCCATTCCTGCCAAAGTGGCCAAAACTCAATCAAAGAGGGTGCTTGTCGATCCCCTTCATCCCAGAATAGATGAAATGCAGACCAAGAGGGCCACTGGGCAACACCCTTGGGCTAAAATTTTTGACCTAGACAGTAGACATTTCGGAGGCCTGTCATTACCGAAATGGGCACTGCCTCTCCATTTCAGCGTGAGAGGCGTTCGGTGCACCCCACAGTCCTTTTTCCAACCACGTCAGCAGGCTTAAGGGGGTCCATTACCCCAGCTCAGGCCCCTCCTTGTGATATGCAACAAAGAATGCATTAGCGGGCAATCGGCAACCTTGCTGCGGCGATGCCCCCATTATTGGCGGCATTGCCGCAGCCAGGCTGCCTATTCCCAATAACAATATTGTTGTGTTCCTCACACCACCTCTGCACTGTGGCAGAAGCCCCTGTGCCCCCTCCCCCCCTTATAGGTTGTGGCTGTTTCAGCTCTTTTGGCCAGCATTTCAGCTATTTTGACGCATTGGGGGGGAAGAGTTCTGCAAAATAGAAGCACTCGGCAATACACGCCATGCCAGCACCGACGACTGGCTACTAGCATATACAGCAAACGTGGGAGTGTTTAACATGCACTTCCCACGTGTAACACTGGCACCGCCTTGATAAGAGAAATGACACTTCTCTCAGGAACTTGCTCACAGTCTACATGGTATGCAGACTTTGATGCAGTGCATCAAAGATACCACACGTCTTGGATGGCGGACACACACTGTGACTCAATGGTTAGTGAGGTGGCACAGCCCCAAAATGTGGTCAAAGAAAGGATGCACTTCGCTGAATAGCACTTCATAGAAGATGCTAGTACATCAGAACAGACATACCTACACAGCAGATGATAATGTCATATGCCGTAGCAGCACTGTATCATCCTCCTCAAGTGAAACATTTTCGCCGATGCCACAATGGCCGTGTAGCATGTTTTCCAACACATGCATCTTGATATGCTTCAGGTGCATGCAGGCTGAAACAGCACAAATCTCACATAACAGTCCAAACAGTGCTGACACCATGGAGGCCACACTTTTTGGTATTGAATGCCTTGAAATGGTTGTCCATTATTTCTTATGCAGGAAATGACACGCTGTGTTGCATCTGTAGGTGACCACCTGGTCATTGGTCTGAACCCGCCGTTTGGGAAAAATGGCTCTTTGGCCAGCCAGTTTGTCATGCATGCTGCAAAATTCCAGCCCCGTGTGATTGCATTGATAGTGCCCCCAAAGACTCCTGTTCCTACAGGCTACGACGTTGTGTATGAAGACAAGGAGCTCTGTGCTGATAAGTATGGTGTTGGGGAATGGTTCCTGCCAGATTATCACCTGCGTGAAATTTTGCACTGTCTTGTTCCCAGTTAACAGAATTGCAGAAATCAGCTTTGGTCTGCTTTCCAAGATATGAAAAGCAGCGTAGCAATGCCAATTAAAGCATTGCCAACTTCTTGTTGCTTGTGTGTCATATGGTGTATGGTGAACATAGCAGTTCTTCATTGAGGGGTGTACTGTTGTGTTTCAGATCCTTTGAGTGAGATTGGCTCTTGTCTTGCTTCGTTGCGAACATCTGCTCATGTGAACAGTGGTGCTCAGAATTATGCAAGCTGCAGCATATAGAATTTAAGCAATGTCAACATATGCTTGCTGTTGTGTATTTTGCAATTGATGCATTGCTTGCTCTTGAAAGGAGTTTGTGTGTCTTTCTTTAGATCTTTCTACATTCCTGGGGTCAAGCAAGCATCATGGAATGTCGTTGCCCCTGCTTTTCGCATACTGGAACGTACCAGCCCTCCTATCCCTAACGAATTGCAGTATTTACAACCTCAAGATTTCAGCTTTGTCAAAGCCACGTCTCTTGAAGCACCAGAGTCACCAATGCAAGGCAACACAGACTTCCAAGAAGAGGAATCGGTAGATGGAGACCAGTTAGAGCAGTCCTTACCAACCGCATTGGCGCCTGTAGTTGAATGTGCTCCTTATGGAGTGCTTCCAGATGCATCCGATGGAATACCAAAACAATCTATTGTAAACTGGCCAGGGGTGGGTGGTGCTCCAGTTGATGGATTGGGGCTTTGGACTGGTGCTAGCATGGATACCCATGGTGTAGCCCCTCTTGATTTGGGGGATATTGATGGTCAACCATCTCGTGGACACAATGACTTCAACACAAGCCAGGCACATCAGATATTGTCAGAACAAGATCCGTATGAAATTGATGAAGTGCAGAATGGTGTGCATTCAGTTTCTGACAATCAATTCCCCACTGGGCCCAATGTATCAGACCCTCTTGGATGCAGTGCACCTCCTAGGTTTGGTTTGTCCCCTTCCTCTGACATGGTGGAAGCTGCTCACAATGGTGACTCGGGGTTAGATAATGTGGCTGCACCCAGCTTTTACGAGGTGGCTACCTCATATCCAAATCAGGCAGATGACCTCCAGACGCCACATCCAAGCCTTCAATACGGTCCAATGTATAGAAGCAATGACTATGGGGAGCGTGCCCATGATGGACGAAGGGGGATTGCTACAGATGACGTTCTTGGTATTGGTGAAGAAAGCTACAGCATTGATGGGGACTTTGTGGTTGCACCAGAGAGAAACAGTGATTATCTTAGAACTTGGGGGAACTGGAGGGAGAGCAGTTTTGCCAACAATGGACATGAGGGTCATATTGGAGAGCGCTGGAAAGGTGACTATGAGTCTAATGCAAGAGAGAGGAGCCAAGGGAGGGGCCAGAATGTACATCACCGAAGAAGGCAAAGGGGAGCCCGACGTGGTTATGGCCGTAGTTCTGGAAGAAACCAATGATGATTGTCATGGTGTCTTTCTTGGGCTGTGACTTAAGATACATGATATTGTAATATTGTATTGTGGGGGAGACCTGGCAACGAGATCTCAAATGTAATCACACTGTGAGTGCCATGTCACAAGTTGGTGAGCCGGAAATTTAGATGGCTGGGTGGGGGTGGGGGTAGCGGTTGGGGGAGGGAGGATGAGCGGGGGAATGGTTTTTAGTTGGGCATGAACTGCTGTTTATTTCTGTGCCCCAATTACAGCTATCACACAGGTGCTGTGTGATGTTGGCAAATTGGTGTTGTTTGCTTTCAGCAAAGCCAACTGATTGCAGATGGATGATATTGGACCCTTTAGGGCCTCAAGTAGAGAATGGACCTAAATGTGTGCAGCGAATGTGAGTATCCAATCTACATTGATATGAGCACTAGATTGTTTTGATCAATTGCTTGGATAGTGAGCTGTGAGACACTGTTGATTGCTTCCATTCAATGGACAGGCATGTCCACCAGTTGACAGCCAAAAACACATCTTTGATGTCCGTGCAATGCTTTGCATGATTGTCCAAAGCGGCACAAGTTGCAACATGCACCTTGTGAAACAATGTTAAAGTTCTCGGGAAAAGGACAAGTGAAGAAAGGATGAAAGTAATGCAAAGGGTACTTCTTATTGGCCTTGAAACTGGCCAGGAGAAGTGTTGCTTAATCACTGGGCCTCCAACAACAACAATGCACCAGATAAATGAATGAGTGGAATGGAATTTCTTGACAGCCGGTCAGTAAACGATTCACCAGTTAAACGTTTTCAATTTCCGCGGATAATGGGGCGTTACATCCGGCGGGCGGTCAGCTGCCTGCGCACAACTGCCCCACTGCGCGCGCGACCTGTCTGGGTGAACGCGGACGGCCGCTGCGAGTTCGTGAGAGAGCGTGCAAGCCGGCGACCATACTCCGCGGCAATGGCCCAACGTGGCGGCCGGATTGGGCGGGTCCCATAGGTTGATGAGATCATGGCCGCAGAAGCGGGAATGAAGGGCCATGCTACACAGCTCGGCAAGGCAATGGAGACGGTGGAAGTGGCGGAACTGGCGCGCTGAGTGGAGCAGAACGAGCTGACATTGCGGTGCCTTGAAGGCAAGCTCGATGCCGTTCTGGGCTTGCTGGAAGCCTTCGGGCCACCTGACCCAATAGATAGGTATGTTAGGTTACCCTTAGAAGTAGAGAAGCAAACCGGTCTGGAGTACCGAAGGGAGTATTTGTAAAGCATTGTAAAGTGAAGTGAAAGGGAAAGTGGGAAGCTGTGGGGGATGTGTCGCTGCATAGAATAAGCAGCTCAGAAGGAGGACAAACGGCTGTAATTGTGCCCAGGTGATATGCTAAGGGTGTACACTGGGGAATGGTCAAGTGAAAACTCGTTGCTTGGAAGCTAGAGAATGGGGATGTCATGGGGTGCAAACGGAATGGAATAGGAAAAGGAAGTGGTCCAGTATTGGGAAGCCATTCAGAGCACCGGGAAGTGGGTCAATTGCAGAATCAGTGTGTTGACCCATGCCAGTGAGAAAACTGGAGTGAAGTATGTGCGAAGCAAAAGTTAAATATAGCCCATACTCCCCAGGGGACCTTGGGTATTTGGAGTTGATGATGACCGACATCTTTGTTATAATGTCTTGCCGTGTGAGAAACATGACCGGGAGGGCTCAGGAGACGGGTCAGATGGAAATGCAATTCTTAATAAGAATTCTCTTATAATATAAGACAAAGCCTTCAAGGGGCTTCCCCTTTTGTGCCCTTGTCTGATTTTGGGACTGGCTCAGCTCAGAATTCCCAACGACGGTCCACCAACAGAGACACAATTGTACAGATTCGAGGGCTCATGCGCAGTTGCGTGCCCATTGCCAATATGTGCGAGTTGTCCGTTCCCGTAGGTTGTGCCATGTGGCACGGCCCGTGCCACTGAAGTATAAAAGAGTGGCCGCAGGAATACAGCCCCTGGCGTTGACTGCGCCATTTTCCAGAGTCCTTGCTCAAAGGCGCACGCGTATTGGCGGTCGGTGAGTCGACAGCATATGTGAATCTGGACATGGTAGGTTTTAACCTGGGCGACCAACAATCGATTTCTGAATATGCAGTGTGGCACTCAACATGAAATTACAACGTGCTGGTGGACTTGTCCATGCATTGAGTCAACAGATGCATTAGCGTCGAGTTGGTTCCGTGAGCTGTATCCCTAGATGTTGGACGTTGCAACGAGGTTCGCAGTGCACTACAGGGCGGTGGGCATTGGTCAGTTGGCCGTCGTCCTCCGGGGAACCTTCCAGGATGCTCGGAACCTTGGTGCCCTGCCACATGCGATAGGGAATTGTTGAAATTGCCTTCCAGTTGGTGTTTGTATATTTTGGGGGCACAAGGCATTGTTTGCAATGTGTAAGTATGCCAGCTTTTTATGTGGCCTAGACATGCATTCCGTGGATCGAAAGGGAACACTCCATCAGCTCGATCAAACCCCCTTTTAACAACCAAGTTGTGAGGCTATGTCAAATGTACAATTCGTCGTGAGCGACTTCAATATTTTATGGGTAGCCAACGTGGGTGATGCTCGCAGGTCCAACCTTCACTACGTGTTGGTAAGATGGTATGGACAAAAACATGCCCGGTGTTGCATTCGTGCCAGCCTTCAGCTTCCTTCAAAGTAACTCCTGTTCGAACAACTTCAAAGGCCCTACTTGGAGGCTAAAGTGGGACTGTGGTCCGGTCCATAGGCCTCCACACACAATGATCCCCCTTCAGTGCTGCACAAGTTGCGGCACAATTCAAGATCACAATGGCAGTGATTGGCTCTCACCAGTGCCGAAGGGCTGCGTGTAGGCATGATGGCGTCCTCTGAAGAAGCCGGGCTGTCTCCTTCAATGTCTGATCTCCACTTTAAAGGGTGCCTCACAAAGCTGGCGCTCCCCTGCCTTGGTGAGTCTTGGGTGGCTTGTGTGGTCCTCTTGGTGCGCTGTCCATGTTGAGGCTCCCAAATTCGAGGCGGTCGCTGTTGTTGCCCTCTGAACAACAGACATTGCTTACTAAAACTTTCAACGCTTAGCAGTGGGAAGGCTCACACTCAAGGTGTGAGCTCAATGCCATACGTAGAGTCATAGGAATGTTCGACAGAGGCGGAAGGTTGGTGATCGAATTATCTATCAACATAGCCTTCCCCTCATCCTCAAATATGTTGGGGGCTTTTGCATTTACTTTTTGGCACTATTTGGTTACTCTGGCGGTGCCATATTACCCGAATTTTGCTGCACAAACGGCTTGCAAAAAGCAGTAGGAAACATTTGGAATACGTTGTGCATGGCATAAGCACAAACGCACCGCCAAAAAAACAACGGAAACCTTGTGTTGACAAAAGGAAGTTTAAGCCACAGCAATTTGCAGCAAATTTGGGCAACGTTTCTTGAAAGCGCTGTGGCAACACAGTCAGCACTGGTACAAGAAAAGCTCCTTTGTACTGTCCTAAAGTAGATGAGGTTGTGTCACAGGTATGGCACGGAACTGGGCATCAAGACGCAACCTCTCTCTGCACATGCCTCATATCTCATTGTCGCAGTATTTCGCAAATTTCCACACGGCCACACCTTGGGCACAAACTGAGAAGGCCACAATCCATTCACAATGAGTCAATGAGGCATTCCAAGCTGTGCTCACCGAGGTCATGGCAGCTTGCATGTTGTCGTTCCTTCACATCAGGCCGTCGAAAATGGAAATCAGTAGAAGCATCGTCATTGCAGAACGCATGGCGATGCCCGTGGCCTTCTGCGAGGGCTTGGTTGTCGTGTTGTCTGACGAGTCCTCTGTGGCCTCAATGTCGCGTTGTGTCATCGCTTGGCGAAATTTTCCTCCGTTGTAGGCGTCGTCGTCGCGGGCGGTGACGTCCTGACGGTGATGTGCATTGCGTTGTGCGTGTCACGTGCCGCAGCTTGGTCTTACCTATGGCACACGGCACGTGGCACAACATGGGTTCATGTGCGGTGGAGAAATGTCTGCCATGGAAGCATCTTTGCACCAAGAAGGCCACTGGGTGCATGAAAGCGCTGCTCTCCATTAACGCAAGTTGGCAGTGTGGATGGAAAACTTTGCGCATTGGGTAGCGCAGGTGCTAAAACCAACATTGTTGGGTCAACAATGCACGACTCACCAGCGCCACCGACGCTCATCGCGTGCACCTCCACTGAGATGGGCATGCGCCCCACAGAGTGTTGTCACTGCACACAACATCTGCGGGGCTCAATTGATGTCGGGCTGGCCTTCGTGTCGTTGGAGTCTGCGCCACATGGGGACCTATCCTCTAAGAAGGCAGTCGGGAGCGAGTTAGTCCCCAATTGGACGTGCAAAATTAGCAAGAGGTCACCAAGTAGATGGCGCCCCTTGTGCCGTTGGCTGCTCCAGCGTCCGCCTTGAAGAGTAGACTTGGTTGGTCGGACGTGCCAAGGCACATCATGAGGGCGGCGGGAGCGGCCTGCCACCCCCAATGCCCAGCTCTTGTACTTGTCCTGCCCATCCAGATCTCCACACTCAGCATTAAGTACTTGGAATTCGAGTAGCAAGCTTGTACTCGTTGGACATTGGACGATGCGCTGCCTGCAACGCGTGGATGCATCGTCGTTTCCGCGGTGAAGGTGGCCACAAATGCGATGTCCCCAATGTGGTGGACACGACATTTCGCAGAGCCCTCTTTTCTTGAAGGTTTTTCCTGTCAGCCAGCCATCGGAAGTTGCTGACTTGGTACCACCGACTTGGCCACCATGTTGCTCCGCCACCATCGACATGCATGGTGAGCATTTGCGTGTCCACCATCGGCTGTGGCTCTTATTGCCCACGTTGAATGCCATGTGCCATGGGATGGCAATGGAGCCTGAGCGCCTGAGCAAGCAATATCAGCGGGGGACGGGGGTGGTAGGCTACCGCTATGATAACCTACCTCTGCGGGCCACTGCAGGAGTGGTCCGCAGCCCCCGTCCCCCGCACACA